CAATATTGGTTTGGTATGTAATGACTACATATATGATTGTTCAGTATAGAGTTGATATGTAATGCCTACACATGATTACTCAGTATGGGGTTGTCATATAATGCTTACATATATGATTATTTATTATGCAGCTGGCATATAATGCCTACATATATCACTTTTGTATGGGGCTAATGTGTTATTCATGGTACTACCTTTAACAGTAATTTACAATGAAAAAGGAATGGAGGAAAAAAAAACATTTCTATTGGCTTGCATCAACACAACAATGATCATGCTTCAAAGTCTTGCAGAATAAAAAAACAATTTTTTAGTAAATATAAGGCCCACTACTAAGCTTAGGTCACAAGTAGCATTTTCTTTAAAAAATTATATAATGGAAAATTTCCTTCAAAAAGATTCCAAAAAATATTTACAAGAAAAAAAAATATTATTAACATAGAATATAATAAACACATTGTCCATTAAACAGATCAAAATAAATGTTTTCTTGTATTGATAATAATTCTAATAGTTAACCCATGCTCATAAAAAATATTAGATATGTATTAGTTGCTTAAAGAATTTCAAAAATATTAATAATTTTGGTCAGGTACACTGAACATGATTTTGGACAAGGTCAGCTACAAAGTATAATTTATATAACCCAATAATAAATAAAAGAACAACAAACAATGCAAATTAAAAATACTTAACCCTGGTACAGAGATACAATAACATTAAACTAACACAAGAAAATAGCAAAATATTTTAACTTTGTCTAATTAATATAATACATTCTTGAGTTTTTGAGTATATATTTTAAAGAAAGATGACCAGTTTTAATATAAAATACTGTTGGCTAAACTAAATTAAAATTAGTGAGGGAAAAAAAACTGAACATGAAAATAACAAGGCATGTAAGAAGTTTTTATGTACATGTGACTCCTGAAAAAAAGCAAGTTTTTTTTAAAAAAACATGATGGATGAATCCACTGAGACCACTTCGTTATGACAGGAACTGATTGAGACACACTTAATCTCATTTTCTTACTGTGTTGGCAGGTCAAGAGTCTGTTTTGAAACCCCCTCCTATGAGTTCTACTGCATTGCAATTGTTGCATAAATTGGCCAATTAGATTAACCTTGCCAAGAAGTGGTTAATGAGGCATACTTGCTTGTGCAGGCTACATTAAATTTAATCTTTAAATTTGTGAGTTATATCAGCTATTTCAGCACCAATTAGATGAGTACAGTAGTAATTTTAATTTCCTGGGAAGGAGCCGAGATATGACTGGTTCCCAATCAAAGCTCAAGTACTTCTCATCAATGTATTGCCAGGCAAAGAGAGAAAATTTTTATACACATGTACAGTGAAAACTGCTTTTACAGAAACTCCTTATGCTAAACAAGTTTTTTTTTTTTACAGTTTTGTTTGTTTGGTTACTTTGCATGAAGCTAATAAGGTACTAACAGATTATAGCACCAACTCAAAAAACTACAGCAGCCAACCATTGATGATCTAATTGTAGCTAATTGTAGGATTTGCAAGTATATATATATATATATATATATATATATATATATATATATATATATATATATATATATGCACTGCTGTCTGGCATTTCTGTGCATGTAAGGTTTCTGTCACCAATATTCAAGCAAAACGCATATCGAATTTGACTGATTGACAAAAATAAAATGTTGCAATGCTTACCATTTGAAAAGAGGTAATTGTCACCAGAATATTCAAAATAATACTAATTTTGGACACACAGGATAATAACCCTATGTTTTTATGACTCGCAATATATTGGCCTATTCTGCAGATAACTTGGAAAAGATGTAATGTTTATCTATCAGGCTATGGAAATAAATACATTACTTGGGATGGTTTTTGTCAGGATTATGGAAATAAATACATTACTTGGGACAGTTTTTGTCAGTATTATGGAAATAAAAAATACATTACTTTGGGATGGTTTTTGTCAGGATTATAGAAATAAATACATTACTTGGGATGGTTTTTGTCAGGATTATGGAAATAAAAAATACATTACTTGGGATGGTTTTTGTCAGGATTATGGAAATAAACACATTACTTGGGACAGTTTTTGTCAGTATTATGGAAATAAAAAATACATTACTTGGGATGGTTTTTGTCAGGATTATAGAAATAAATACATTACTTGGGACGGTTTTTGTCAGGATTATGAAAATAAATACATTACTTGGGATGGTTTTTGTCAGGATTATGGAAATAAATATATTACTTGGGATGGTTTTTGTCAGGATTATGGAAATAAATACATTACTTGGGACGGTTTTTGTCAGGATTTCAGTCAAGTAATTGGTCAGGTTCATAGCTTGGTTTACAAAATTCAACATAACAACGCCAATCAATGGCAAGAAGTATTAAACAAACTATATCAATCTTGTAAATGTTTAACATTTTATTAAAAAAGATCTATTATGTTCAAGAGAAACAACAGTAAATAGGATGTAATGTGTTTGCAACATTTTGTTTATTCAGAAAAAAATTACTAAAGAATTTGGAAAAAGACTAATTGCCAGCGAAATTTTGAGCATCACGTTCTAGCAGTAAGTTGAAATTTTGGATAGAGGACAATTCTGTACATGTGAGACAACTTCTTGTAAAAATTGTAAACTTGGATTAAAATGCAGTATTATTTTAAGGTATATATTTCCATCTTTTATGTAATGTATTTACTTGTATAATTCTAAAGGATGCACAGTAAATAGGATTTCCTAGTTTACAAGTTCAAGAAGGTCATGGAGTGATATTTATGCTGATATTTAAAAATCACATTTTCATATTAATTTAGGGTACAAATGTTGTTTGTACAGTTTATGAATATTACTTTAATTAAAGGACAATCATTCTTTCTTGATACAAATTTGATTTTTGATATAAAAAAAAAAACATAATCTAATGTTAACAGGAATGTCAGATTATTGCTCAGAATTACACATCTTGCAGAATTGGCTGGCCGACATTGTGGTGTGTGTGTGTGCATATATATAAAAACTAAATAATAGTGGAGGAGTGTTTGTGTTAAATAGACACCATATCATCGTCTTCCCAGGAATTGGCTTTCTTGTGTATCATGCAAAAGAATGGTATTTTTTGGGAGGTATATTTGTTTGAAAGGTGTTGACATAAAATACAAATATAAATGAGAATTGCAGTTTTTAAGTAATAATCAGTAATGATATAGTATTTTCTAATTACATCTCCCCCAAAAAAGTGTTTGGCAGTATTTACACACAGTCTGTCAATTGCAACAAGACTGGTTCTGGTCTTTGACTAAGCTAATCAAAGTTACTGAAAATCTAATGTGTACAAGTTTACTTAGTGTACCTAGCTCTCTTTTAATATGCCTAGAATGTTTGCTTTCACATCTTACTTGAGGTATTTTACATGATTAAATCACTATGGGTGAAATATGACATCTAATCTATTTCAAACATTTCCTCATTGGTTCCATTAAGCTTTTTTGCCTGCCATAGGACTGATTATGAATTAGGAGCATGTGATGCAATGTGCAATTACCTGACATCCTAAAATAGCCCACATTTCAATGTCTTGACTCTGGGAACAAACTGTGAAAGATTACAATAAGCTATATTTCATTTATCTTGAAATAATGTCTCTCTTTTATACAACTGAAAGAATAGTTATAATGTCATCTCCGTACAAGTGGATATTGAAGTAAATTTATATTTAGTAACTTATGCTGCCATTCTATAATACATACAATAAAGATGGCTTTTGTTGTTGTTATTAGGTTTCATGACATTTTTCAGCAGAAGATAGCTTATACATGGCGGCCAGTATGACTGGTGGAGGAAGAACCTGGAAAAAACTTTGAGAAGAACTGTTGAGCCAAATTTGGCAACCTTTCTCACATAACCATATTGGCCAAGTTTGAGACTTAAACCCACACAGACAGATGTGAGATTGTAGTGACACTTAATGGTGATATACTCTGGTACTTCATCCCCTAGATAAAATGTTACTATATTGGAGCACAATGCACTTAACATATATGTCAGAATTGAATACAGTTTTATGTCAAGCTAATAAATGGCATATAATCTACAGTCCAGCCCTAGAATGATATATAAAATGTAGACTTTGAGATGAAATCCAGCCCTAGAATTGTTATATACATTCAAAGGCAAATTAACATAATATTTTGTTCCCTAATATCTCTGCAAATATTTACAAAATAAGTGCATAATATTAATCATGAACTAGTAAATAATTATTTCTAGAATAAATAGTACAAAAGAATTCTCAAAAGCAATGTGACCATACATAAGTCATTGCTAGAACATCAAAACTAGTTGTAAGCTCAAAATTTCACCTTTTAACTGGTATAACCAAACAAATCTTCAAAGTTCACTCCTTCAGTCAAAAGTAAGGTTTCTCAAGTCATGTGACACTTTAGTAGAGGTCATATAACATAATTGATATTTTACATTAGAACTTAATTTTAAATATCAGAAAGGTCTCTCAAAAACTCATTTTAAGACAGGTATTTCAGAATATGTGATTTTGTCAAAGGGATAAGATTTAGATATTGTTTTCAATTCATAGCAAATATTTGGTATTCTTGTTATAGGAATTAAGTCTAATATATTATCCTAGAAATAAGTGGATCTTCTCTTTTCTTAACCTTCCTTCAAAATGGACAGCAATTTTTGTATTCCGTTGATTTACTACATATTGCCTTTGTGTGTGATTTGATGGTGTGTTTTTGTTTTAGATTATTAATGTAGTTTTAAAAAATTTCAGTCATATTGCTATGATATCTGCAGTGTGACATTTTATAGTGATGTCTAGCACTGGGGCATTATGCTGTAGACATGTGGCATGATGTCCCACCAAGTCACATTATCCTGACACCAAGCCAACCAGTCCTAACACTAACCTCTTAATACTGAGTGCCAATCGAGACAGCTGTTAGTACAAATTTTTTAAGTTTTTGGTATGACTCGGGTGGGGTTTGAACCCACGACCTCCCACATCCATGGCAGATGCTCTAACCACTAGGCCACTGGAGCAGTCATAAAGTCTTTGTTGGCTGATCAAAGATATTTTTTAAAAATGTAATCAATACATTGTTGTTTTTGGTATTTCTAACTAAAGGTGTCCACAAAATAATTGTTATGTTCAGTGTTTTTACACTGTTGCTATTGATGAAAATCAAAATTCTTTAGTACAAAAATTTCTTCAAGAAAATCTGTCAATAAATAATTTTTTTCATATAGCAAATAGGAAAAATTCATTCCCTTGTATTTAGTGGAATTTTCAGCCCATTGTATTGATAAAAGAGTCAAGAGCTGCATAAAGCAGACATTGAACTCTTTTGGCTGCAGGGACAAAATAATCCTTGTTATAACAATTTTTGAAAGTCAAATGGACAGTATTCACTGTTCACCAAAAGCTAAGAATTACAGAGAAATTGTAAAAACTAGGTTGAAATGTCCCACTCTTCTGTGTATGATCTCAGATAGCTTTGCTTAAAGAGAATGTGGCTGGAATTTATGTTCACAGAAATTACATTAGAGATGTATTATTGTAGTTTCTAAATTTGTTTTTCTGTTTTGTAAAGGCATTTTCCTCAGTCCAGAATTGCTTTATAGATTTTTTTAAAAATTGCTTTTTGAAATGCAGATTCATTCTTAGGTTTATGGGTCTAACAAGATTAGAATTTCTTGTACAGTTTTGATTGGCCTTTTTATGATTAATTTACTTTTACTAGGGGGTAGGCACATATTGTTTTAAAATGATTGATTGAAGCATTCCAACCATTAAGTGAAAGCAAATGCAATACTGCAAAGGTTTTCTTAGCTTTCCTATACTGGTCATAAATTAAAAGGGCTTTGTCTTATTGTCAGGTGTATATATTGTCCATCACCAATGCTTTCAGTTATTATAGATTTGTTAATACTCTAAACTACTGGGAGGTTTGCAATAAAAATTGTTGCACTCTCATTTACATTGGCCACTTTTACAGTCTGGTTTTTGTATGAAAAATACTCCATATGATCACTAGTTGGGCTTAAATGAAAATAGTGCTCATTAAACTTTCAGCATAATGGACATGACAACAGGTTTGTAAATATTGTTATCACTGGTACTCCTCATGAAGACATGATTGAATTGACACACTGGTACTCCTCATGAAGACATGATTGAATTGACACACTCCAGGTACTCCTAATGAAGATATGATTGAATTGACACACTGGTACTCCTCATAAAAATATGATTGAATTGACACATTGGTACTCCTAATGAAGACATGATTAAATAGACTCACTGGTACTCATGAAGATATGATTGAATTGACACTAGTACTCCTCATGAAGACATGATTGAATTGACATACTGGTACTCCTCATGAAGACATGATTGAATTGACACACTGGTACTCCTCATAAAGATATGATTGAATTGACACACTGGTACTCCTAATGAAGACATGATTAAATTGACTCACTGGTACTCATGAAGACATGATTGAATTGACATACTGGTGCTCCTCATGAAGACATGATTGAATTGACACACTGGTACTCCTCATAAAAATATGATTGAATTTCACACTAGTAGTCCTCATGAAGACATGATTGAATTGACACACTGGTACTCCTCATAAAAATATGATTGAATTTCACACTAGTAGTCCTCATGAAGACATGATTGAATTGACACACTGGTACTCCTCATAAAAATATGATTGAATTTCACACTAGTAGTCCTCATGAAGACATGATTGAATTGACACACTGGTTCTCTTCATGAAGACATAATTGAATTGACATACTGGTACTCCTAATGAAGACATGATGGAATTGACACACTGGTACTCCTCAGAAAGATATGATTGAATTGACACACTAGTATTCCTCATGAAGACATAATTGAATTGACACTCTGGTACTCATAAAGATATGATTGAATTGACACACTGGTACTCCTCATGAAGACATAATTGAATTGACACTCTGGTACTCATGAAGACATGATTGAATTGACACACTGGTACTCCTAATGAAGACATGATGGAATTGACACACTGGTACTCCTCAGAAAGATATGATTGAATTGACACACTAGTATTCCTCATGAAGACATAATTGAATTGACACTCTGGTACTCATAAAGATATGATTGAATTGACACACTGGTACTCCTCATGAAGACATGATTGAATTGACATACTGGTATTCATCATGAAGATATGATTAAATTGACAGGGTAGTTTTCAGTAATCTCACTTTAAATATTCTGTGTCCAAAATTAAAACCATGTAAATGAGACTTCCCCAAATTCCCAAATGTGAAAAATCTTGTTATATTGACTTCCTATGAATGGACGACCATAATGACACATTTGGGTGGGTTCATATGTGGTTGGGGAGAAATTTCTTCTCTCTTGAAGTATATAGTTGGTCTTATATTAAAATGATGCTGATGTAACCTCCCAAATGGCTGTCCCATTACTTCATTTCAAAAATGTTCACATGATTACTTCTTCTGAAGAGATGGTTGTATGAAGAATTACAATATAACAGCAATATGTAATTGGTTATGAATGAAAATGGTGCTTTTCTAATCACCAAACTGGCACCATAGTGACAATGGGAAAATTATTACCAAACTGGCACCATAGTGACCATGTGGAAAGTATTACCAAACTGGCACCATAGTGACCATGTGGAAAGTATTACCAAATTGGCACCATAGTGACCATGTGGAAAGTATTACCAAATTGGCACTATAGTAACCATGTGGAAAGTATAACCAAACTGGCACCATAGTAACCATGTGGAAAGTATTAACAAACTGGCACCATAGTGACAATGGGGAAATTATTACCAAACTGGCACCATAGTAACCATGTGGAAAGTATTAACAAACTGGCACCATAGTGACAATGGGGAAATTATTACCAAACTGGCACCACAGTGATCATGTGGAAAGTATTACCAAATTGGCACTATAGTAACCATGTGGAAAGTATAACCAAACTGGCACCATAGTAACCATGTGGAAAGTATTAACAAACTGGCACCATAGTGACAATGGGGAAATTATTACCAAACTGGCACCATAGTAACCATGTGGAAAGTATTAACAAACAGGTACCATAGTGACAATGGGGAAATTATTACCAAACTGGCACCACAGTGATCATGTGGAAAGTATTACCAAATTGGCACCATAAGTGACCATGTGGAAATTATAACCAAATTGGCACCATAGTGACCATGTGGAAAGTTTTATTATCCCTGTTCCTGCAGCACAAAATGGCTTATTCCCAAGTTTTCAAAATGGTGTAAATCACAAAAAGTTTTCACTTTTGCCACTTGTTGATGAATGAAAATGGTGCAGATCTGACCACCACTTTGAGATGGAGTTTGAAAACCTGACCTTGCATTTTGTACTTTCTTGTGAAAACAGTGACTTGTACTTATAAAAATTAATTTGACCAAACTTTTTAATTAACGGTAGTTGCATTTCATTAAACAGTTTGTAAGGATGGTATTATGACAAACAAGTATTCATTAATGGATGTGTATCAAATCCAGTAGGTGTTTATATTGGAATATTATATTGAATTATGCCATTTCAATAACTAGGTCCCCAAAACATAATACCATATTTATTTTAATGCATGTGTACTGTTCTGAATGTTATTAGAGTACCGCTGACTGAAAGCACATGTTGCCAGCTTTCAAGTCAACCTAAATGATGGTTAGAACAAGTTGACTGATTTAATACTAAGACATTCAGTAACGTGTATAAAAATCAAACAAATTGCTTTCATTTTTTCATGTTTTACACTAGACAAACTTTTGCTTAATTTATCTTTAGTAAATTTCCAAATTAATTGTTATGATCCATTTTAATTTCATCCATATCAACATGCTGGATACATTGCTGGATTTGCAGTGATGAGAAATTGAGCAGTGGCTTCCAATGGATAATGATAATCATTCAGTTCTATGTTGTTTTCCAAGGTAAAGTTTCTCAAATGATTATTTTTATCATCAGTAAATCAACTTGCATCATGTGATGTGTAGTGTACTCAGAATTCCCAATTTTAACTTCTTCTTTATAAAAATGATTCCACATTAAATATATCAAAATCATCCATACTTCTGTAGTAGCTGTCAAACTATGGTAGCTGATGTGTGGGTGGGTGGAAGCTACTTTGGGGAATTAGCTGGTAGAGCAAACAAACAAATGTCTAGGCTACATATTTTTTTAATGGTTACTTTTCACTGTCTCCAAATTCCCACTACATTCAACTGGTAACTGGGTAGTGTTATAGTCACCTACGTACAGAAAAGAAACCACCAAAGAAACACTCAGCCCTGTCCGCTCCACCAACCCAACCAAAGAAAAAGTCCAACCTGCTTTATCTCAGCAGGGCAGACTACAATCAAATCTTTACCAGTTATGCCTACGGGTATCCCTATTTCAATTTTGTGTAAGCCACCTAAGCCATTGGGCAAATGTTGAAGAGTTTCGGATTTTGAATACTATATCATGTTGGAATTTTGTGTACTTATCATACTTATATGGGCCTGAATTAATTCCAATCAGCTAGATGTAGGCCATCCATTACTTCTTTTAGCGCCGCTTAGTTGTAGTTGGTTGGCTGTTTTTTACTGCCATCCAAGAGGATCATGTTTGTATGATGGTCTTCAAGGGCCAAACTGCCCCTTGCTTTAGAGCTTGTCCGTGTCCAGGGGAAGGGTGTTACAGAACAGCAGGGGAGAAGGTGTATGTCGTGGGCTGTTCCTTGCCTTTGATTGATACCACACCTGTATGCCGGGATTTCACCCAGGTATTGCTGGCACATTTATCCCAGCACCTGCTTGATGTCCCCAGTACAAGTGTTTGTGTGTGCATGCAGGGGGTGGGAATTTATGGGGCAGTAGGTTGAGCTTGCCTGGACTGCCCCTTTCTTTGATGCTTGTCTGGCAAGTTGTTGTCAAATTCAAAAACTCCGTATATATCTTAGTCCTAGCAGACATCACAGGAGACTAC